CAAGAGAAGTGCAATTATTTTGATTTGTAAATCAAAATATAACCCCTATTGTGGAGGTCATGTCACAGTTTTGTACCTTAGTGGATCAAGAGAGGTGTGGTTATTTTGATTGTGACATGACCTCCACAATAGGGGTTATATTTTGAGTTACATCCAATAAGGTACAAAACTCAAGAGAAGTGTGATTATTTTGATTGTGACATGACCTCCACAATAATAATGCTTCCTACCTTGCATCTGGCTCGATGGTGGAAAAGGGCTTGTCACGGAGTTCTGGTCACCACTCATGGGTGGAGGTGGGTGTGGTTGAGTAGGATTTGGATGAGGAGAACTTAAAGGTGGCATAGCTATGAAAATAATAATTATTCTAATTTAAAGATTTCCAAAAGAAAATTGTTGTAAAACATTTACTGCTTTGCTGTTTTAAAAATGTTGCTAGCTGTAAACAGTAATAAATACAAATATGCTAATAGTCACAATAACTGCAGACTCACTACGACACATGATAAATTTATCAACTTTGCTGTAACTTATACGATTCAAAACTTGTGTATTATTTAAACATGTAGCAACAGTATGGCAAGTTACAGCCTGTAAATGTTTGGAGAACTCCAAGTCAAAGACTCCAACTTAGCAAAATGCACACTGTAACCAACAAATATCTGTATTGCATGACTTAAAACTTGCATAGTATTAGTTGATTATATCTTTCTTAGGACTATTTGTTACAGTTACAAGGCTAGCAAGAAGCTTATGAATAAAACAAACCTCTATTCTATAAAAACTGGAAGTTGAAGTAACCGCACTGATTATTTAGTATCATTCACCAATAGTTGTACTAGAAGTTAATAGTTTAACTCTACAAACAACTTAAATATACAGTAATTTCAGATATTTTGAGAGAAGCAAAACATCAAGTTTAAGGTTGTTGGGATGATCTGCAACTTGATAGTTTTACTGATACCAATAGGCCTAAATTTACATGATTTCAATAACAAATTCTAAGCCTTTTAGTTTCTAATGCTTCACCAACTTTTGATGTTTAAACTGTAGCTTTTAGTTTTAGTAATAGTTAAAATATCTCAATCTTAGTAGTAACACTGGATAGATATTTGAGGGAGTTTCTATGGTAACAGAATATTCAGATAATGCTTCATTTCCCTGCTTTTTACTTTCTTTATGTATTGATATTGGTTCCATCTTCCAAATCAGTAATACACCATGTTTCAAGGATAACAGATCATTCAGTATTAGAATAAAAACTTCAGGTCTAAGAATAGTTTTATGGTAAATTAGAAGCCTAAAGAATGATGGTGGCACAGACTATGGTGAAGGAAATTGAGAAGCGTTACACTGTAAATTAGCTGCTGGAGGAAGGAAACTGAGAAGTGTTACACTGTAACTTAGCTGCTGGAGGAAGGAAACTGAGAAGTGTTACACTGTAAATTAGCTGCTGGAGGAAGGAAACTGAGAAGTGTTACACTGTAAATTAGCTGCTGGAGGAAGGAAACTGAGAAGTGTTACAATGTAAATTAGCTGCTGGAGGAAGGAAATTGAGAAGCATTACACTGTAAATTAGCTGCTGGAGGAAGGAAACTGAGAAGTGTTACAATGTAAATTAGCTGCTGGAGGAAGGAAACTGAGGAGTGTTACAATGTAAATTAGCTGCTGGAGGAGGAAACTGAGAAGTGTTACAATGTAAATTAGCTGCTGGAGGGAGGAAAATGAGAAGTATTACACTGTAAATTAACTGCTGGAGGGAGGAAAACTGAGGAGTGTTACACTCTAAGTTTATTGATGGAGGGAGAAAATTGAAAAGTGTTAAACTGTAACTTAACTGATAGAAACTGGTGAAGGAAAGAAGAGCTTTCTCGAGAATAGAGAACAGTTAAAAGTGTCTGAACCCATTAGCGTTTTGGGAATCTTTCTGAAAATGAAACACTTATCACCCTTGAAAAACTGAATAAAGTTTATCAAAATACTCACCTATTAACTTTGAACAGAGACTGAATATCAAGAAGACTTCTCTATACACAAAAACTCTTTCAAATAAAGTACATCAAACCTATTTTATACTTAAAACAGACAATGTACAGGTAGTGGACAAAGAAAATGGAAACAGCTAGGTAAATGAGGGACAACAAGTATATGCAATGCAGAGGCTACCACATAGGTGTGGCTCATCCAGTAATTAAGTAAATAATATCCCAACATGCATAGGGTCATGTATCAAAATGCTGAACAGGCCTGGTTGCCTATAATCATGGCTAGCATGGCTGCAAGAGGAGACCTCAGTGACTATGAAAGAGGGGTGATTGTTGGGGCCCGTTTGGCAGGAGCTTCAGTGACCAAGACAACTCAACTTGTTGATGTTTCACGAGCAACGGTGTCTAAGGTGATGTCAACATGGAACTCCGAGGGAGAGACAGCATCAGCAAAGGGCAACAGTGGGCAGAAGCACATATTCCAGGATTGTGATGTCCATGCATTAATTCGAACTGCAAGGCAAAACAGGTGAGAAACCGCAGATAATTGACTGCAAATTTCAACCTGGGGTGAGAGCAGCCAGTTTCATTAAGAATCGTCCACCAAGAACACCGCAGAATGGGATCCCATGGTTGGGTTGCAGTGCACAAACTGCTCATCACACTTGGCAATGCACGGATCATCCAGTGGTGCAAAGAGCACTGGGATACGGTCAGATGATTCATACTTCACCATGTTCTCAACAAATGGACGAGTGCACGTATGGTGCCAACCTAAAAAACTCTACAACCCTGAGTGCTTGGTTCTAACAATGAAGGGTGCTGGTGGTTCCGTAATGGTGTGGGGTGCATTTTCTGGCTAGTTTGGGTGCACTTATACCCTTAGAAGGCAAGGTCAATGCCAATCTTTACTTAATGGTACTGAGTGATCATGTTACAGCATTTCTGTCCTGCAGAGAGGGGGTGTCTTTCAAGATGGCAATGCCCCTGTCCACAGAGCACGAGTAGTCACTCAATGGTTTGAGGAGTATGATACCAATGTTATCCAGATTTGAACCCAATCGAGTATGTATGGGATATTCTGGAATGACGCCTCAAACAGTGTTTTCCACTTCCATCAACTAGGCGTGAGATATTTGACTTTCTCATGGAAGAGTGGTGTCACATTCCTCCTGCAGGATTCCAGAAGTTGGTAGACTCTATGCCATGGTGCATACAGGCCCTATTATGTGACTTTACATTGGTGTTTCCATTTTTTGGCCATTACCTGTAGCTTACAATGAAAAAAATTATAAACTTTTTATAAAGAAATATTATGTTTCAAGAAAGACTTTACAAAATCATAAGTGGAATGACTTCCAAGTAAACTATGGCACCGACACTGCTATCTGCAAGTACATTTTATTGACTCAAAACATTTTTTATTGATATCAGGCCCACTTCAATGTAGGTTATTCATTGAAAAGTCTTTCCAAATAATTACTCTAAAATATTTTTTTTTACTTTCAGCAAAAATTATCTGTATAAACTATAAAAGAACTCATGAGTGAAGCTCTAGACAAATGTTTTAATATTAATATTTTAAACATGCTTTCTTTAATCTTCCATGCAAGATGTTAAAACATAAACAATAAACTTCTTTTACACATATATTTTAACAAAAAACTGAAATATAAATTCTGTGCAAGCAAGAGTCACAGAAACAGCTCGTGCATCAGTTAACTCTCTATTTAAACTACAGTGGATAAATATGACATCTACACTAATTAGGAAAACACAGGATGAGTGCAGAAGTTATTATCAGGAAAAATCTGGACAGAAAACTCTTACTGAGATTGTGACCAGGTTCAGGACTGCAGTGCAGAGAGAAGGAGAAAGAAAAGAAAGACCAGTTAGTGGATGGAAAAAAAATTAAATCAAACTTATGGACAATTACAGGCAAGAGTGTGTTGAAAGTATAATTAGCTCAATTTGACAGCTGTATGTGAATCATCATGCTGCTGTTATGAATTTTTAAATAAAGATACTAAAACACAAGTACATAACTAGAAATCAGGCACTTCAGTCACAGATTAAAATAAAGTTTATCACAACTATACGAACAAAATCTAGGCAACAGTTATTCACTACTTACAAATACTCGTGCCTGTAATTGTCAACAATTATATGACACAGGGTAAAACAACAACTTGTAATGATAAATTGCAATACTTTAATTAGTGTCATAAGATAAAACGTTAACTTAAAAAATTACATGGAAGTAGGGAAAAAACCGTACAATAAAAGACAGTTTGAAAAGCATTTACGGCTAAAAGATTGAACCATGCAACAAAGGATTAAACTATGTAACAATGAAATTACAATTAGCAACTATGTTTACAACAAATTAACTTTAATTTACTTATATATTTCTAAGGTCTTACACTTTGGGAAATAATAATAATTAGTAGATAGAAATCTGTCTCATGGTGTAGCAGAATTACATGACATGACTGTACCTCTCTTGATAACGTGTCACTACTAAAATGTCCAATATAGTAAAGGAGCCAACGACAAGACTAAGTCTCTTGATAACATAGAGCTACAAAACCAACATCCGTATGCTACGTTATGAAGAGACTGACAGTCACATCATATAGCTCGTTATATAACTACAAAGCCAAGATCTGTAAAATATAACCAGAGCTATACAATGTGACTGTCAGTCTCTTGTTAACATAGAGCTACAAAACCAACATCCATACAATATAACGAGCTATATGATGTGACTGTCAGTCTCTTCATAACGTAGAGCTACAAAGCCAAGATCTGTAAAATATAACCAGAGCTATACAATGTGACTGTCAGTCTCTTGATAACATAGAGCTAGAAATGGTATAACAAGAGTTGTACGATGTAACTATCAGTGTCTTCGTGATGTATACAGTAGGATCTGATCAGTATAAGGCATTTATACATTTGCACTATTAGAGTTAGTTATCCAACCATAATTATACAAGCTAAAACTTATTGGGTATCCGACATTCTTTGGATAGTAAGATTCAACAGCAAACTACAGTTGTATTTGGTTATAGCAGTGATTAAACAACAGGAAGTCAAAAGTGTCCACTACCATGAATTACTTAAGTACAACAGGAAGCAAAAAGAAATGAGTTAACTCCATGATTTACACAGCCACAACGAGTCTAAGAGTGTGTGGTAATCAAAACTATCTCAGTGTCGACAAAATAAATTAGTCTATTTTAAATCACAAGTTAGGTTGAACAAATAAAAACACAGCGGCATTAACAAATCATACTCAGACTAATATTTCAGTAGTTTTTACAACCGTGAAATTCATACTACTTAGAAAACTACATTAATTAAACCACAAGAGAATTTTAAACTCTTAGCAGGTAAAAACCTTAAAAACTTCTAGAGAAAGTTTCAGTAAATTCCAACAGTTAAGTATAATTATGATTTCTTCACTATGAAAGGCAGGTTCTGGCACATTATCTATCGAAACAGTAACTTATCATATTTATGTTACTTAAAGATTTGAAAATCAACTATATTCTTACCTGGGGTATGTGGTCCTGATGCTGGAGGTATGTTACTTGGGATTGGATGACGATAACCTCCCCCTGGAGGCATATGATGGGGAATGTCATGAGGATATGAAGGCTGACCAGATACTGGTTGAGGGCCATGATGGGGCGAGAAATGGCCAGTGACATTCATAGGATGAGGCCTTTGGAGCTGATAAGAAGGAGCCATATTTGGAGCCATCTGAGGAGGATGAGGAACTCCTTGTGGAGGAACACTGGTATTGGGGTACTGAGAAGCACTCACATTGGGTGACATTGTTGGAGTGGAAGCAGATGACTGTGGAGGGATACTTGGGCTAGGGGAAGTAACTGGTGTTTGTTGTGGTGGTTGGGCAGATGCAGGAGGGACATGTAAAGGAGGTGGTTGGTTTAGTAAAGGTGGTGCAGATGTAGTATTAAGGGAAGCAGTAGGTGGAGCTACAAGTTGGGAGGCAGTTGCAGGGGTGGGAGCTTGTACTTGTTGCTGGGGTGGCTGGGGACCTTGGGGAATGTTAGGGGTTGAACTGGGAGCCGAGGTCTGAGACACGAAAGCATATCGCGTATGCTGAAAGGGGGGTCGCAAATGGCTCGATAACTGACCTGCCAGGGTACTTGCTGTTTCAGCCCCATGGCCAGAGTCGCCATGAGCTGACCCTCCCTGTTGTGAGGCTAACATGGCATGAGCCTGTTGCCTGGCCCGGAACTCCGCAGCTCGGAGCTGTTCCATGTGAAACTGCTGTCGTTCTTGAATCAGCTGCTGCCGCTGGTACTCCAACTGAAACATAAGTTTGATTACTTCAGAATATGAACATAATAACTACTAATTGTATTCAGGAACAGTTTCTCTGTTATATCTTAAAAACAGTAAAGCAGTTGTTGTTAAAGTAGCGAGACATTTATATAATCATCAGTTATCAATATTATAGGAAAAGGTGTAAAGTCAAACACATCAGAAAGTATCTCACGGTCTCTCGTTCTCTGTCCATTATGGCTTCCAACTCCTCGAAGTGCCTCAATTTGATCTCTAGCTTCTTCATCTGGGTCTCGACCAACAGTGCCACTAAGGATTTGATCTTCCTCTCTTCAACTGAGGCTAGGTGCTAAGGTGGGGAAGAAATCACAGTATGTTTGATTAGAAGTCACTTCTCACTTACAGTACCTTAGTAAACAAGAGACGCAGAAATTTGCTTTTTGAATATTATAACACTAATAATACACTATAACACTAATAACACATTATAACACACTATAACACTAATATGACATTATAACACTAATAACACACTATAACACTAATAATACACTATAACACTGATAACACACTATAACACTAGTAATACATTATAATACTAATAATACATTATAACACTAATAACACATTATAACACTAGTAATACATTATAACACTAATAACACATTATAACACTAATAACACATTATAACAATAGTAATACATTATAACACTAATAACACATTATAACACTAATAACACATTATAACACTAATATCACACTATAACACTAACACTAATAACACACTATGATACTAATAACACTATAACACATTATAACACTAATAATACACTATAACACTAATAATACATTATAACATTAATAACACATTATAACACTAATGACACATTATAACACTAGAAATACATTATAACACTAATAACACTATAACACATTATAACACGAACAACTCTTTGAAGCATATAATTCCATAACTGTCTTGATGCCTCAGAGCAAGGAAAAGAGAAAATTCTTATTTACTGTTCTATACTTAGAAAAAATAGCAGCTATAAACCTGGTTCTATCTTTATTACCTCTGCCTGTGTGTGTGTGTGTTTGTCAGCAAGATTTCTCAAAAACAGCTAAATGGATTTGGACTATGATCCAACTTAGAAGTGATTAGTTTTTGGAAGGGTAAAATAATCCCTATCTGTTAACATGGGGACAGATATTCCACACTATTTTAACATTATAACATTTCAAAATACAAGCTAGTGTGAAAAAAGCTTTTATACAAGACTTTACAAAATTATTCAAGTGCTCTTGGTTTTATTAACCACCTGATAACTCTTATGAAGTGTTCATGGTTTTATTAACCATCTGATAACTTATGAAGTGTTCATGGTTTTATTAAACATATGATAACTATTATGAAGTGTTCTTGGTTTTATTAAAGATGTGAAAACATCTGATGACACTTGACCAAAAATAAAACATTTTGTGATACTTGTTATAGTCTATAGTAACTTACCTTAACTAAACACAGATCATTTGATGATACTTGTTATAGTCTATAGTAACTACCTTAACTAAACACAGATCATTTGATGATACTTGTTATAGTCTATAGTAACTTACCTTAACTAAACACAGATCATTTGATGATACTTGTTATAGTCTATAGTAACTTACCTTAACTAAACACAGATCATTTGATGACATTTGTCCAAGTCTATAGCAGCTTACCTTAACTAAACACAGATCATTTGATGACATTTGTCCAAGTCTATAGCAAGCTTACCTTAGCTTTAACAGCTGCTGCTCCAAGAGCTGCTGCCGCTGCCGTAGAGAGCTGAAAGTCCTTAACCAGACGATCCCTGTCTGTCTCCGGTATTTTATCTTGGACCTCCACAACTTCTTTTTTCTTATCATCCTCTGTTATACTGCTTTTACTCTCTTCCCCATCTTCAGTAATTGTATGCTCCTCTACTTTTTTCTCATCATTACTCTCTTCTGTACTTTTATCTACATCCATTGATTCTGTCTGTGTAAATACAAAAATAGAACTGGTATTATAATTCTATGTACACAAGTTATTACCATTAATTCTCCACATGTGGTATTATTATTATTCTATGTACACAAGTTATTACCTTTAATTCTCCACATGTGGTATTGTAATTCTATGTACACAAGTTATTACCATTAATTCTCCACATGTGGTATTATTATTCTATGTACACAAGTTATTTCCTTTAATTCTCCACATGTGGTATTATAATTCTATGTACACAAGTTATTACCATTAATTCTCTACATGTGGTATTATAATTCTATGTACACAAGTTATTACCTTTAATTCTCCACATGTGGTATTATAATTCTATGTACACAAGTTATTACCATTAATTCTCCACATGTGGCATTATTATTCTATGTACACAAGTTATTACCTTTAATTCTCCACATGTGGTATTATTATTCTATGTACACAAGTTATTACCATTAATTCTCCACATGTGGTATTATTATTCTATGTACACATGCTATTTCCTTTAATTCTCCACATGTGGTATTATTATTATTATATGTACACATGCCATAACCTTTAATTCTCCATATATGATATTATCATTTCTGCTGGCTTATACAGTTGATAAAAAAAATTACATAAACATCCCATACAATTAGTGAAAATTAAACACTGGTTTGCCTGTACTAAGAATGTAATTAGTTTTCTGATACAGTTAGCAATTTCATGTTTCAACAAAATTCTCAGCCTTAAATAGGATATACGAGACTACACATCACACCTTTTCTTGCTCTGACTTATCTCGCTTCAACTCTAGACTCTGTTCATCTTCCTGTCGACTTGAGACATCATCTTTTTGTTCTTTTTCTGTTCTCTCTTCTCCATCTTCTCCTACAGAAATTAATCAAAATAGTATTTTATCAACAAGAGTTCTGTATTAATCAAATTGAAATATATATGTAGAGAAACAATACTTACACAATTTACTTGAGTGGTTTTATTAACACTTATAACCTACTATGTGCATCAGTTAAGCTTAAAAACAATAGCTTTAAAAATGCTCAATTGTTAGATTTAATATTAAAAGCTATCAAAGTTTTATAATCTATTCTCAGCTTCAAGAATCTGATATGTCTACATCAAAGTTCATTGTTTACAAAATAAATTTCTTACAGATCCTATTCCAGTGTTGTAAAGCCTTGACTTAAAAAAGCTTAGTTTCTTGTAATTACAAAATTAGTTTACAACCATGATAATAATGTTGTCTTAATTACATTTTCTTAACATGGAAACAATGATGCTTAATTAATAAACCACAGCCCTATACAGTTCTGTTATTCAGTCTAAAATACAATTAGCTTAGAAGCTCTGATTACTGGTATTAAAATAAATCCATATTCTACTAACAAGATACTTTTATAAATAGTAAATGTCTCAATTAGAAGTTTTCAGCAACGGCCAGATACTCTACTGAGGGGGTTAGAGGAATAACCTGTAGATCACAATAATGTTAAACAAAGCACAGAACTGTACAGATGAAAGACTGCTCACAAACATTGAAACACAAGGTGATACACACACAATGGACTGAAAAATGGCCAAAAACTAACCAACTACTTTCAGACAGGACAACGGCCTCACTTACACTGGCTATTTTAGACAAAGACCCCACATGCTCTGGCTATTTTAGAAAAAGGACCCACTACTTAAAGACAGGACAACGGCCTCACCTGCACTGGCTATTTTAGACAAAGGACCCACTATTTTCAGACAGGACAATGGCCCCACATGCTCTGGATATTTTAGACAAAGAACCCACTACTTTCAGACAGGACAATGGCTCCACATGCTCTGGCTATTTTAGACAAAGGACCCACTACTTTCAGGCAGGACACCGGCCTCACCTGCACTGGCTATTTTAGACAAAGAACCCACTACTTTCAGACAGGACAACGGCCCCCCATGCACTGGCTATTTTAGACAAAGGACCCACTACTTTCAGGCAGGACACCGGCCTCACCTGCACTGGCTATTTTAGACAAAGGGCCCACTACTTTCAGACAGGACACCG